AAAGTACTCTTCATCTTCTGTTTTTGCATTATAATCCTTTACTTCTCAATTAGTTAACATTCTAAGAAATTCAAGATCCTAAAATACAAGGTTTATTAAAAGATTGATTGTGGTAGTTAAGAAAAGATTCAAAGCTGTATCCAGTAATTCCCAGATACATGTCTGGATTTAAAAGCCATGACACAAGTTTGTTTGAAATCTTAGTATTTTGCATGCCTGTATTTTTAAATTGCAACAAAGTATTTCAACCAAAATCATGGGCCCAATGAGGGATTATTAAATACATTGTGTTGGTGGTTTTTGCATCAGAGCAGAGTAAATTGTTACACTGTTCAGAAGATTCTTAAGAATCCCTGCTTAGAAGCTGAACCAAAAAGGATGGACTGACAACTGAAAGGATAAACTCGTGACCATTTGTTCTGAAATTATTAGATTCTAGACACCTGATATTGTTGTCAAAAATGAGACTAGACAAGTGACTTTTTTTGTCTATGCTCAATACTGTGAATGTCTGAGGAGTCCTAATGTTAGTACAGGAAACTGAAGACTTTCAGCAGAAAAAACTTGTGTGCTCTTTCTTTTAGGAAGAGGGGAAAAAAATTTATCAAGTTGTAATACTTCAAAAATGTGCAGTGCATGAGAGAAATAGCTAGAGTCTCCAATTATTTTGACAGAAAGTAAGCAAATGATCAGGGAGAGGAATTATAAATTCTAAGCATGGGAGACAATGTTTGAATGAATGTAAGAAGTGGAGCATGCTCCCCCTGTTGCTAGCCATAGATGTGCATTTCCCAAACCTTTACATTTCTTGCAAATGCTAGTGGACAAGACCACCAGCAAATACCTGTAGAACCTCTTGCACCAAGTGCTCTGGTCAACACCCTGCCACTGCAGAGATGAAGTCCAGAGTCCATCTATTGCAGAAATTAGTAACTGTGACTCCTATGTGCCACAAATAACAAGTATAGTTATTTACTTGTTCATTTATTATTTATGTTACTTGTGGAATTGAATGCTACTCAAATCTAGGAGAACTTAATTAGTCAATATTTAAAAATCAGAAAGTTCCACAAATAATTGAAAGTATTTGAGTAAGTTGTCTATATGGAGTGAATTTTCCCCTCCAGAGAGTGATTCAGCTCATATATCTGAAATAAATATCTTAATGATGAGATAGATTTGTTTTTGGAGATGCCTCTTTCTTTCCACAGGTTAGAAAAGGAAACTTCCTGGATAAAATTAGCCAAAACTGTTATCACTAAACCATGTAGGATTGACTCAATGCATTCACAATGTCACACTTGTGTGGAAATACAAAAATTATGGAAACAAAAAGCACCATGCTATATGTAAGAAAAAGATCAAGACTAAAGTTGCTCAACTACTTTAAAATCTGAGTTGTAAGTCCTTGATCATAATCATATTTTAGCACAATCTTTATTAGTTATCAGAGCATTCACTGGTCTTAATTTAAGATTCAAAACAAAAATGAAAAGGAAAAAGTTGTGTCTGTAGCGTGTGACAAACGTGTGATATACATTACCGCTCCTTTCATCATCCAGACAGGTGTCCTATTGTGTGTGCCAAGGTGTGCTCTCCACATCTGTCCATCTGGATTTCCTTCCAAAGGAAAACAATGACTTGGAAGAAGAGATGCAAATCTGCATCTCACTTTTTCCTCGTCAGAAATACTCTGTGTAATCTCTGTTGCCTTTGAATTTAGTAAGAGAAAAATCTAAAAGAAAAAAAAAAATGTCCTCCTCACTACCTAGATTAAAAGGATTTTTTTTCTTTTTATATCTTGGGTAGTGGAATATAAGGATAAAAATCTAAGTGAACAAAATTGACTTTCAGGTCTCATCTGGCACACTTACACATAAAGGACCTCACTGATGAACAAGGAAGATGGCTGCAGCACAAGGTTTTAAGACAGTTTTTATAATTTGGAAGATCCTAGAGGAGTGTCCTTGCACTCTGTCTTAGACCAAAATTCTAACCCATGGACCAAAGCTTGGAGTATGAAAGAACTCCTCTGTTTCCTGTACTTAATGAAAATGGATAGAAAAAGAATGTGCTATTTCAATACTACTTTAATTTGAATTTTTCTAGGGATAATATTGCTTTCCCAGTTATAGAGGGAGAAGGATTCTTTTCAATTTGTATTTTTACTACTAGAGGTATGGATACTTTTTGAGAAATTGACGTTATTATCATATTTCTGCTTAGCTGGCACCTTTATTATCTCTAAGAAATACTAAATGCATTGAATTTTTGCAAAAAACCCCCAAAAACTCCTTTTGTCAATTTTTCTCAAAATTACCTGACAAGAGAAGAGAGTATCTTGTGTAGGAGGAATGACTCAAATCTCCATTGTAAGGGCTATTACCTGATGTCATTGTCAAAATGTTCGAGTTGACTCATTCACAGAGAGTCAGACAAACAAAATGGCCTATGGATACAATCAAGCAACCTCACGCTAATTCTTCTTTTAATACAGCAGGCCATTGATATAATATGGACTTTAGGGAGTAAAACCAAGTAGAAGACTAGAGGGACTCCTTTCCAAAGTGTCACAGTCAATCTGCTAGGCAGTCCTTGGGATAGCATTACCACAGTTATCCTTATTATTTTTAAGGGAAAAAAAAAATCACAACCCTATTTTATCCCAAAAAAAAGTTTTTTCTACAATTTTTTCTAATACATTTAGATTCTGATTAAAAAGAAGAAAAAAATTCATTTTTTTCCCATAAAATGGTGTACCACAAATTATTTCTCTTCTTTTTGAAAAGTTAAGCTAAAGAAGAAAGTCTCATTTCCTAAAAGAAGCTGATTGCTATCTGTTTGGATTATCATATCATTAACTTTCCTTGGCTTGCTTAGTTCCACGATCACTATCTAATAAAACAATATGCATTGATACATAAAAGAACACACTTATTAAAAAGAGTCTTTGAATGCTTGGGATCAGAACGTTGTGAGCATGTAACAGTCATCTATGTTATATGCATCTCGCTTTATTTTAGCAGGAATAACTGATAATTTGTTTATGTTTCATACTAAACTGAGTAGGAACAGAAATATTGGGAGATCTGATATTAAGCCTGGTAATGATGCATTGCTAAATGACATGGACCTGTGCATTGGGTAGGTATGTAACTGAGGGACAGGTGAAAACACTTTTTCTTTAAATTAAAAAGTATTAAAAGCATAGCTGCAAGATTAGCATAAGATAAATTCAAGTTTAATAATCATCTAAGCAATAAGGACAGAGTAGTAAAATGCTAAATACTCCTCTCCCTCATAGGCCATGGTCATCTCACCTAGGAAAATTTGCTAGTAAAAAGACAAGAAAGAATAATAAAGGCTTCATGTTAACAAAAATATGTTCTTCTAACACCATCCATATTATAGACATGTCATTTAATAAAAGCCTGAGATTGTTTGTCACATTATTATCCAGAGCTGAATTAACAATGGTAAATACCAGGAACAGCACAGACAGGACTGAACTAGTAAAGAGCACAGGAGTGTAATACAGCTGAGAAGCCCTACTGTCTTAAGTGGTAGTTGAGATGAAAATAACTATTATTCTTCTGACAGTGACTAGAGCAGAGATAGTCATAGCTAAATTGAATGACAATATATCTCAATTTTGCAAGCACTTGTAATACTCACTGCATATGTCATTATTTTAAACTTTGTATTGTAGAATCATGGATGGTATAATCATGGATTACTGAAATAAAGACAGAGCTCTTAAGTGACCTAGCGAATTCTAATCACTATAAAGTAACTGTCATCAAGCTTTTAAATTAACTGGAACCTGCTATTTATTATTTCCTATTAGGTACACTATTTGACTAGTTAAACTGGTTATTGGATTCTTCATACAGTAGCCCCTGAACTCCTTCAGTCAATTAAATTCTTTATTGAATCTGATTTGTCAATGTCAGTGTCACTTCTAATCTCTTAAATCCACATTGGTTCAGAAGCTTTAAAATGTACTTATTCAGTTGCAAAACTAGGAAGTTAGGCAGAATCCTTCCCCTCTCCCTCCTCTCTCTGTGCAAGCCATGAACCTGCCAACAGTACAAAAGATATAAACACTTGTACATACTCTCTTATGTAGCTGCAGAATGAGCTGCTTTTTAAGATGAGCTACAGAGCACAAACAGGAAAAACATATAAACAAAAAACTCTATTGGGTGTTTTGATACCAGCATGTTGTATATTGAACACTTTTTTCTTTGACTCAATTTCTTATCACTTTAGATTACAAAAATTAGCAGAACAAAGTAACTATAGCTAATTCCAGAACTGGAAACTTCAAAATCTTGGTAATACTCTTCACAGGTTTTGAGTGACATCTGCAAAAGTATTCCAGAGCATTTTTAAACCTGTTACAAAATAAAATTTCCTCTTCTTAAATCTCCCCGATTCTCTGTTCATCAACAAAAGCTAGATTTCAAAGGAAAAACACAGGTGGTGAAGGAAAAGAAAGGAAAAATACAAGTATTAAATAACTGATCTGCCCGACGTTCTTGTCAGCCTAGTAACTCTTTAGTCCACCTGAAGAGCAGCACAAACATGTAGGCTATTTATTTCCATATTGCAAAGTAGAGTTTGCCTGACACAGACTTCTTTTTCCTTTAAAACCATTCCCTTTCTAAAGGACCTCCTTTCTGCCAGTAAAAAAAAAAACTGCTTTTTACATATTACAGGCATATAAGCATATAAGGGGAGCAATTCCCCTCCCATGTTAGGCGCATCACCTTTATTCTGAAAGAGAAGGCAAAGCACGCCAGGCTCTTACCAGACACAGGGAAAACAATCGCTTCGGCTGGCTCCAGCGGCGCGGTGTGCGAGCAGGCAGCCGGAGCGATCCCTGGGCCTCACACAGCAGCGAGATAATCGGCACTGGCGGAGGAGCCGTAAACATCCATCGCGGCGGGCTGGGGCAGGGCAGGGCAGGGCAGGGCTGGGCTGGGAGCGGCGGGCGCTGCCCCGGCCGGCCGGGCTGGGCTGGCGCTCCGGGCGGGATGATGTCAGGCACAGCCCCGGGCGGGCGCTCATTGGCTTCCCTCACCTGCGCCGGCCCTTAACCCTAAACTGCCGGCCGCACACTGAAAGAAAGGTGTCTAATCCTTCCATACATACGCACAGGTGGGGGCTTTCTGGCTTTCCTCTTTTTTTTTTTTTTCTCCCATTTTTTTTTCACCTTTCTTTTATTCTCTTTCTTCTTATTTTTACCTCTTCCCCCCCCCCTTTTTCTTTTTTTTTTTTTTTTTTTTTTTTCCCTCCCTTGGTGGAAATGAGACTACACAAGAAGCTCCTGCTTTGGGGACCAGGTGCTTGTTGTGGTTTAGCTATTGAAATGTAGCAATTAAGCAAATTCTAAAAAAACTAATTTGCCTAAATTATTAAACAAGACCCTCAGGTAACTGCGCTTGCATCATCTGTTTGCTAAATGACAGTAATCATCAAAATATTGTACGGAAAAGGTATTAAAGGAAAGGTTAATGCATGCAGCACCTGGAGAAGTCATATTTTTAATGATTTTGCATTGCATCCTCTTCAGGCATGAGATTAATAAAGGCACATGCTGGAAAAAGGGTGTAAACTCAAGAATATTTCACTGTTGCAATGTTAGGTTGATTCTTGTGTCTTTTTAGGAATTTAAAACTAACAGAAAAAAGTATAGGGATGTACAAATGTACATGAAGAGTCATTCCTTGAATGCTAATTAACAGCCCAGATATTCTGTCGTAAATGAGGCATGAAACACATTGCCCAATGTATGATGTCCTAAATATAGTGGCACTAAGTATTTAGCTATGTTACAGGCAATATCATAAATCATGAGAACTCTAAAATGAGTCCAAATCTGTGCTTAAATAATTGCTTTTTCCATAAATGAGTATTTTGATATCTCATCTTTAAGTGGCAAAAAATCCTTTTGCTCTATAGAAAAATGAAAAAAAAACCTGATCTACCACATATTGTATTTGTAACTTTTGTTCTATGTCAACTTTTTTTAATCTTGGGAAACGAATACTTTCTTGAAATGGATAGGAACCTGATCCCAAATGTATTTACAGTAAGTGATATAACACACCAGTCTATTTTTGGTCTGCTATCCCTCAAAAAAAAGGAAAATATTGTTGCTCAGTTTTTTCTCTGGGGGGAAAAACAAGACCAAAGAACAAACTACAAGCCAAAAAAACCCAGGAAAAATGAAATATAATCAAACACAATCTAACTTAATCTAAAAGATATGTAAGGTAAGGTTTCTAGAATAAACTTGATAAAGAGCTCTGTCATTTTCTTGTGGCTCTTTCACAAGTTTTAGAGACTCAGGAGATTAAATTCTGGGGACTTAATAACACCAGTTTTGTGTGGGGATCTGGAGGTTAACCTATTAGTCAAAACACTCTTTAGTCCAAAATGAAAGCCTTTGTTCACTTATCTCTGCTCAGAAAACGTAGTAGTTCAGATGGAAATAACTATAAAACAGATTCATTGTTATGCAAAGTGAAAAAACTGAATTTCATGTCAGAAAAGACTAATTTGGACAATGGGAATGTCGGCTTTGCTTATGTATGATTAATGATAAAGGTAAGACATAGTATCATGAGTCATAAGGAAAAGAACTATTGATGAGATAAATTATGCTTAAATGTATCATGTGCAAAAGTTATATTCTCCTGAATATTTAATGGTACCTATAGTCTAGACCAAACTGACGCATTGTTGCCAAAATGTTACTACACTGGTTGATTCAGCATGAAAAATACCTGGATTTCCCATATCCAGTTAATCTTAAAATGATGAATTAAAGTTCTATGCATTTTTTATTCTTGTGTAGAGCACACTTTATACCTTTAAAGAGTGTATCACTCACAGACTACCTGCTAGACCATCTTTAATGGGAGAATACCATACTTTTACAAAGTTCTCAGTGTTCACAAAGTTTGTTATTCTCCAGCGATAATAGAGAACCTATGCTTTATAACTAAGCAGTAACTTAGAAAATTTACTTAATGTAGTATCAATGCTAATTTGAAATATTAGTGTAGAATACTTTTTTAGTAAATGACCTGCAAAATTTGACATTTTCTTTACAAAAAATTTTTTTCTACAGTAATATATGATTATTGAATGTCTTGAAATTGAACTATTTATGAATTTATTGATAAATTATCAATTTTTCCATGCTCCTTGTTTCATAACTTGTCTATTACCTGTATTTTTAAAAACCATGGAAGAATTTGGAGATCCAGGCTGAACAAAGTTAAGAGTTGTAGATAGCAGAGCAGTTCCATGATCCTAATGAAGTCACACAGCATTTTACACCCTGCAATATGCTGTCACACACGGGTTATAAGCAGTTTGAAATACAAATAATGAAAATATATGATAGTATTCAAATTACACCCTTTAAATATGCAATAGTAGCAAGTCACTTCAGGAAAAAAAAAGAATAATCTGTAAGGCCATTTCTTTAAAAGAAAAATCTCTTCAGTGAAGTAAACATAGGTTACAAGAACTCAAAGCAGACTGTGTATGAAACCCAGGAACACAGAATTCATACACTCCTATCACTGTGCCATGAGTTCCATTTCTGAAAATATTGGCTTGTCCCACCTGGCACAGACAATAAAGGTGCCGTTGGCAGTGTTATTTCTCAGCATTTTGTAGTTTCAAGTTCAAATCACACAGAAAAAGAAAGAAAAGAACAAGAAAATGAAAGAGAAGTGACTAATTATTTTCAATAACTATCTGTTTTTCTTTCTATAACCTAATATTAATCGATGAATGAATAATGTTGAAAAATCTAACTAGTGGGGATATTTTAGTCCTCGAGCAAAGTGAAACTCAGGTTTATTAGTATATATTTCCCATGAGCTGAAATCGTTATTGCATTTAATTGCTTGACAATTATTTCTGTCACATCAATTTAATGGTTAAACCAATTATTTATATTACAAAACATTTTTCTGCACCAAATTCTAATTGAAAAACACAAATGGTTTTTCAGTGTTGCTTAACCTATACATTATTAATATTTCAAGGGCTAGGTTTAAAGATTTTTGGGGAAATTAGAACTCAGTCAGGTGATGAGTTTTTAGAGATGGATTGTGTAAGCTCAAAATTACAGCTCTCATAACCCTGTACATGAGATGAATATCAAGTCAGGTAGACCTGATGACTATTATAAACATTTTTTTCCTCCAGCATTCAGACAACAAGAGCTACCAGCTCTTAGAAGATTTTTATCCACAAGATGGCAGCTCTGTTTGCGTGGTCACTCCTTTTAGCAATGTTCAACTTGAAAATCATAACATGGTATTTTTTTTTTTTAATTTTATAGCAGAGATGATTTTCTGTCAGCGTAGGAATTTTAAAAAAATCCCCAAACAAGCACAATAGATATACATTGATTAACCCAATATTGAGGTAAAATTTGCTAAGTTAAGAATAAGAAGAACATTCAACAGTGCAATTTTTTGAGTTCTTTAAAGAATTTCCATTTATACCCATATGTTTTTCATGCTTTAATTTCTGGACCATCAAGCCCAGTGTAACCTTTAGCAGATTAAATTTAAAGAGTATTAAAGTTTTTACTGATAGAAAATTCTTGTTTGCCTAAAGGAGACATAGATTAATAGGTTTCCTCTCTAGGTAATGGTCTATTTTAGTTTGCTTTATACCTAAACTCATCACGAATACTTATTTATGTTACTAAAATCTAATAGATATCTTTATTTCTATGTTAAGAAATGCTGAGATGTTTATGTAGGGATCAACCACAGACATTTAATAACCACGTGTGCCTTGTGAAATGGATAAAGCACAGAAAAACACCAATAACAGGGTCTAGCTCTTTCCAAGGGGTTCACTCAGAGCTGAAACGGTTCGCAAGAATAGACATGAAATCATTTTCTCCATCAATGAAACCCAGTAAATTAAAATGAAGCTTTACTGAAACAATGCATAATTTAACATGGAAACAGTTTGCCCATGGAATAGCCATTTCAAAGGAAATTATTTGGCCTAGCTTCCTGTCTGCATGCAGTCTTTGATGGCACTTCTGGAGTGGAATCACTGATCCCTCAGACAGGAGTAAGGAATTCTGAGTTTCCTAAAATTTATCATTGACCGAGACCCTTTACACATATAATTATAAATCAGTGCACAGGAGCTTACAGGCTTGTAGAAAATACAGAATTCTTGATGTAGCTTCCATCTTAATGAAAAAGAGATGAACTCTTTTTAAGTAGGGTGGGGCAGCAGTACATGCGTGAATGGTTGCAATGGATCACCTAAAGGGCAGTAACTTGTTAACCAGGCAGCAAGGCCAAGATTCATGGCTTAAAGGCTCTTACCTGCTCTCCGTGTTTTACACAATGGAGAAAACACAACTCTGAGATGTGAAATTCCAGAGGACAAGATCATATTTGGCAACCTAACTCACATCAGCATTGCCTAGGTTGAGGTGAGCAGCAGAAGAGAAGCAGATTAAAAGGGTCTAAGGAGAAAAGGTGTTCTGATAGAAGCATAAAGGCCATTGGAGATAGTTTAGACTGCTGTGAAGGTAAGGCAAGCTGCCCAATGCACAATATGAACCTGAACTCAGTTATGTCAGAGCAGATGATTCAGTACAAATTACAATCCCAGAGTGAGTGGTTCATATAGCCAACTGTAACAGCACACTACTCGTCAGAGTATTGTCACAACAGAAGTGCTGGTCTTTCATCACAGAATGTCAAAATACATTTATGTCACAAAGTTACCTGTTCATTCCATAAACTCAACTGCAAAAAGTGTCAGGAGAAAAGACTCAGCTTTTCTGTACATGCATATGTGGAGGCGACGCTCTATGTCAGCATCAGTCAGCTGTTATTTTGGGTCTACTGTGAGGGTCTAATTTAATTCACTTCCAAAAAAACCCAAAACCAAACAATTTTATATGGATTAGAATGATATAATAAAGCTACCTGGGCCAAGTACTGGCAGCATTCTCAATAAGAAAACATGAATGTGAAGTTTGAATTTTTACTCTGAATAGGTAAATTTTCAGAAAAAAAGCTATTGAAATGTGGAAATATTTTCTACTTCTCTGATGATCACATCACTGCAGTATTTCAGCTGGTCACAAGGTG